GAGTGGCTCCCATGGATGTACATGCAGTGGAACAGGGTAGAGGGGGCTGCTTGCACAGATGATGGAGTGGGGTAGAGAGGATCTGCCAATGCACTGTTGTGGTCTGTGTGGGGCACAGCTCCCATCCTCTTAGAAGTTGATCAGCCATGAGTTAGACTTAGAGGAACAATATAGCAGTTCCCTTCCAAAATCAATCAGCAGGTCCTATTCATCACAGAACAGTGGTGTATGTGTGCATATTTACACTTCTCCATCTTACACCCAAAAAGCAACTCCCATAACTCAGTTATTTAAGAGATACTAATAAACACATGAATGCAACTTTCATGTAGTACCCAGTACAAGACAGTGGCGTCTACATGGTGGAGTATATTCATGCACAAACTCACCCCCCCCCACTTCTTGGATCTGTCATGTCATGTGAAATATATGCAGATAGTTCCCATGGTTTGACATTATTTATTTTGTCCCACAATAACATAGCAGAGTTCAAAGTTATTTTATAAAGAAAAAGTAGATGAGGAGGTAGCAAACTATGCGTTAAAAATGCAGACAAGATAACTAAAATAAAGGCAGCAGGACATGAAACTGACAAACAGTAGCTGTCAAAATAGAGGACTGGTAAGGTATACTGGAGAAATATGGTGCTGCAGAAAGCCAGTTCTAGAAGTTTGGTAGCACAGCCCATGTGAACATTGCATCCTGACAAAGGCTGGGTGCCAGTTGGCACCATGCCACATTCGTATGCTTCAGCCAAGTTAACCACTTGCATGCTGTGCACTTTCTGGGCTTGGTTTCTGTTTGATGCCACTCACAAATCTGATATCTCAGCAGATGACAGATGTCTTTACAGGCATTGTCTAAACATTTAACAAGGGTGGGTACCAGATTAACCCTTTTCCTTGTTAAATTCAAACAAAGCAGTAAGTGATATTTTGGGGTGTATCTAGACAAGTTCCTGTGTCTGGAAGCACCACCACAAGCATACCCACCTACTTCCTCCCACTTCACACATGCTAAATCCCAGCCATAAAGCAATGCAGTGTCTTTAGAGCAGTGCTGAGTATTTGCCAGTCACCTGAGGTAGAGTCCGAGGACCACAGTGCCTCGTTTCCGGGATTTAACAAAATTGGGTGGGGTATAAGTCATAGCAGCAGTATTGGATGCAGCCTGGTGGAACTCATTGCTACATGATATTATTGGGCATTTATACACATACTTTTTTTCCCGGGACGAGCAGGAGATCTGCCGCTTCAGAGCAGACTTGATTAATCCATATGCGAGCTGAGGTAAACCGCACTGCACTGCACGCATTCTATAAATAGCAAAATGTGCATCAGTGCGCAGAAAATAGCAATGGTGCACTTTTGAAATAAAGCACCTCCAAGGTGTTTTAGTTCAAAAGTGCATCGCCGCCATTTTCTCAGCGCTGATGTGCATTTCACCACTTATACAACTGCGTGCATTGCAGCACTGGGTGCTTTTCAGAGCGCCCGCGCTGCAACACATATATGTGTAAAAATGCTCATTGAGATCAAAAGGTTAGTAGGATTCAAAGAGACTGCACTTTTATACAAATAGCAAAAATATTAAGTTTTAAGTATTTTTAAATGTGTTTCTAAAAGGACTACAACCCTAATACTTCATGGCCTGATGCAACATCTAAATAATAGAGATAATTTAAACATTCCTGTTAGGCGTGTTATCCCATATCTTCCTGCTTCACGGTTTTGTGTGCCTTTCTTTGAAGCAACTGGTATTGGCTACTGTTGAAGACAGAACACTGAGTAGATGGACCACTGCTCTACTTCGGTTTTGCAACTGCTGTATTATTATAGTTGGGTGGATTGCCCAGTCTGCATTTTGTGCTTCATTCTCTGGTATCCAACTTGTCTGGAAGCTGTACAGCTTTACAAGTAGAGTTGTGGACAAGTAGAGTTTGCATTATGTTTTTTTGGCAAACATCACTTCCATCAATGATTGATTAAAACTGCTTTAGGCACTAGCACGCCTCAAAGGACGCCTTGCTATGAGTGTCCTGCCAGCTGGCCTGAGGCTGGCTTTTTGGCACCAAGGACCATCTGGGGAGATGATCTAATCCGGCACCAGCTGAGCTCTGGTCACAAGGAATGTTCCATTGTTCAACTGACTGTCTGAGCAACTAACTGAGATGGACACCACTCAGAGCAGCAAGTAATGTTATGACAAGACTGTAGGGCTTAAGGTGAATTCAGTACAAGACCCAAGAGGATAGTGACAGACTTTATCCAGGGCAAAAACTGTCTCTGGTAGATAAAAGAGCCTGACTAGTGTTAAGACATTGAACCTGGGGTATTTAAACAGGTTGTAGTCCACCACTTTTTTCAGCAGCAGTTCAGATTTCTAATGCAGATGCAGTCAAGCTAGGTGATACAGCTGACTATAGTTGGCAACAGATTTTTTTTTTTTTTTTTTTTACCCTGTTCACACCCAAATGTACCTATAGCTTGTCACGAGCTCTGATAGAAATTGCAGTGTGAACATGGCCTTGTATATACTCTGGAAAAGACACAGCACAAGAAAGATAATTCTGAGCTTCTTTGGTGTCCAGCACTGAAAGGGTATTGAAAATGAACTTTAAGTAAGAAGGTTGGCTGTACGTGCGCCACGAATGGCATATTGTTCACCAAGTTTGCTTGATTTGGAACTTAAACTAATTCAGGCAAACCATCTGTGAGGGAGACTCACAGTGTCACATTTTAGTTTTAAGGGTAACTTAACTAACTTGAGGTAGGAGGGAGAAACTGCTCACTATTAACCAGTCTAAGTTTTAAGGTGTGTGTGTGTGATGGGAGAGGTCAGAGGGAAAGAAGCCATGGCACCATAGAAAGAAGCCATGGCACCATAGCATGTCTTAGCATGCCTAGAATGAAAGATCAACCCAGTAAAAGCTGCCAGCCTGCAATTTCTGGGTTGGAACATACTCCAGACCTGCTATTGTTAATACTCCGGAATGTTTCAGCTATGTTTGCAGTCACAAACTCATGATGGAAAGCCACTCTAATTCTCTAGCCAGTGATTTATAAATTACTTAGGTTTATAGTGTTCTTTCCCCACCTCCACCCCATTTGTCTGGTGTAGGCTGATTTAGATCTTGATTCTTTATTTTTCATATTGTATACCATGTGGAACTGTGCTTTGTTTTGTTTTCTTTTTTAACCTGTGTGTGGCTTATTTTCCAGAGCTACTTCTACAATGATGACACTTTTAACTTTAACTACGCCCAAGCCAAAGCTGCCACTGGCAATTTCAGTGAGGGTGAGGAGGTATGTCTGTTGGCTTAAACAATGGGAATGTTTCCTACATGCCCCTCCTCCATACAAATATTGCTCTCACTCTGGTTGGGATCCTGCAGGTTGTGTGGAACCTGAGCTCCAAGAATTGAGAAGTATATCTTGCTCTCAATTAACAGGTTTCAGAAGAAGTAGCTCACTTCAGAAGAAGTGCATCACAGGAGCACTCCCAGCTATTTCTAATTGATCAGAGAATAACCCCTTGATCATGGTTTCTGTACCCTGTCTGGGATTCCAGGCAGCCTTATTGTTCAGGCAGAGCAAAGTCTGTTGAGTGAAAGAGACTGGATAACTGAATGTTCACTTAGGGGTTTGTGATATGTGAGAGGAGAAAAAAAACAAAAAATGTTTCCACAGCATCCAGGTAGGCTTGAGGAGTTTTGCTTCTTCCTATGCACAGCATGTTTTGTGCATTGGAAGTTGAAATACACACAGAGTAATAACTGCTCTGAAGAATGAAGTGAGACTTCTCAAAAGCAGTAAAGATCAGAAAATTGGAGTGGGAGGTAGGACAAGAAACCCAGCATGTGATTGTTATTTTAAGTCAGATGGTTTTGATAAAAGTATTTTTTTAACAGTCTTCTGATATTTGAACACCTTAGATTTCTGGGGCAATATGATGAGAGGTTTGGGTGAAGGACAGGAAGAGTTCATTTCTTATTTCTGTGATTGGAATTAGGGCTTCTCCAAAAACCTGCCCAAGACTGATAGGCAAAAAGGGTATGTGTTACAGTCCTGTCAGCTCAATTTAGTTGGTTTAATACAATTGAAAAACCCCTCTTAACATTTGTGAAAATTCAAGCTAACAGGTTTGAAGTCATATTAGGAGGCCACTTATGGTCTCTGGCAGTGGTACTCAACCTTTTTTCCCAGTGGGCCAGATGGACAGTGTCTGGTCGAACTGTGGGCTCCATGGTGGTTCCAATCTAGTACCTGGGGCTGGCATGGCGGACATCATCCGACCATCGGAGTTGGGCAGGGGGCAGCCCAATCTGAGCCCAGCACCGCAGAGGGGAAAGGGGCCTTCACCTAGCTCCGCAGTGGGGAGTGGGGTAGGGATGTGAGCCTACCACGGGGTGAAAAGGGCATGGCTCAGTCCCAACCTGGCCCTGTGGGGGAAGGGGACATGGCTTGGGCCTGACCCAGGCTTGCAGGAGAAAAGGGGACATGGCTTGAGGAGAAGAAGGGGCATGGCCTGGCCCAAACCAGCCCCACTGGAGAAAAGAGATGTGACCCAGCCACATGGAGGGAAGAGGGCATGGCCCAGCCCTGCGTGAGGGAAGAAGACCCAGTTTGGTTCTGACTGGGTTCACATATTAATGGCCACTGCTCCCTGCTGCCAAATTTCCCAACCTGTGGGGAACCCCCCAGGCCAGATGCGATGGCTCTATAGGCTGCATTTGGCCCGCAGGCCAGAAGTTGAACTAAATGATTGCACTCTTAAATATACTGCATCTGGGTTGCAGAAACACCAAAGACTTATAAAATTAACCTTGAATAATGGGTCCTCCTACTCTAATCTGTATTTTTACAAACTATGCTGACTGGATTTGCATTATATAGATGACAATTTTGGAGCTGCTTATAAATTTAAGTAAGCCTATTGGTACTGTTTTGGTGTCTGGTGCTCTGTGACTGTGGCCACACATCCATATAAGGATTACCCTCTTCAGTAGTTCATTAATTTATTAAATGTCTCCAGAAGTAACCCTCTGTGTAACATAATTTTTCAAAAAGAGTCGCCCCTCCGGGCATAAGGGACCAATCTGCGGGGTGAAATGCTACTCATAGCAATAATGCTCCATTCTGAATTAGAGCATTAGCAATGTTTAAACAATAAAAACCATTTGATTGATTGACAAAACATTCTTTTCCAGTAAGTGTTTTATAATTATGGGCAGAATAACCTGTGTACATGGAGAAAGGGTTTTGATTTTTTGCCAGCATCCCCAGTAAAGAATGGGTATTTGTATCTTTTTTGCTGAGTGAAGCCACAGAAGATTTAAGAACACAAGACCACTTTTACCTCCTTCTGACTGTCAAATGCAGTAATGAGTCAAATGCAGTAATGAGTCTGTCTTCATAATAAATTGTAAAAGGTAGTATTTTGACCCAGAGCCTCTCTAAAACTGATGGCTTAAGGGCTGTTATTGCTGCTCCAGAAACTTCAGGTCTGTTTCATACAGTAAGTGATAGAGGGAATGGAAGAGATCATCATTACTGTGAGGCCTCTTCTGGTATTTTAGAAGGATGCTAATTTCATTGCTTGCACTACTTGCTAAACAGTTGCATTCCTAGTTGTTTTTCCCATAGCCCCATCATCCTTTATGCTCTGCTTGTTGTATATCAACACCCACTGGCAGTTGTTCAAGCAAAGCCACACCCTCCCCATAGTTTGGCATTGTAAAGCTGCAGAAATCCCACGATAAGCATAGTACTGTTTCAGTTCTCCACCTGCCTGACACAGAAATACTCCTGTACATTGCAGTTTTATACTCCCAATTCTTCCTATCAAGCTGCTTTTTGTCTGGCGTAAACCTTGGCTGTGTATTGTGGTGAGGCAGATCTAGTTTCTCTATATTGCAGAGTGCACATGCACGCATACACACACACTCCTAATTACTTTTTCCCCCCCACAGGTGTTCCTGTTGATCCAGAATGAGAAGATAAAGAATGATTATGTTTACCTTAGCTGGCTAGCTCGCTGCTGTGAGTCACTTTACTCTCAAAATTGCTAGATACAGATCCCCCTTTTTGCATCGGTCTTGCCAATCTGCTCATTCTATGTTGTGGGTGGATCTAGTGCTCCACAAAAGTGAAGAGAAAAGTGCCTTGACTGTGATCAGCTACAGTGTGGCCAATTTACTGCACAAGCAGTGCATCTGGCTGATTTTTGAGATAGCTATATTTCAGTGTTGACCCCAGCATAATTCTATCAATGTACTGTACCTCCTTCCTGAGCTGTAGGGATATTCTCTTGTCAGTCCACAACAATCTGAACAGAGATTACCAATCTTAATAGTTTGTAGTTAATTTTTGCCCCAATGTAGTAGCACAAATGTTTCCTTTTCAGTTTTTACAATATCCTGCCAATCGAGGATATATCTACACTGCATTCAGTCTGATGGTTGCTTGCCAGTATTGCTTACATGGCTTTTAATCAGTTGGAAATCACACAGTTGGTAGTACCTTTCTGTAGGCCAATTCAAATCTGGAGATTTTTCTCAAGTTAGCCATTTCCTTCAACAACACCCTTAACTTCCTGAGCAGCAACCATTAGAAAGTAGTCTGTGCTGAAGATAGATCATCAGCATATATGATGTGACCTTCTAAAATAGGTCACTTGGAGCCTGCCACATCACATCACACATGCGCAGCTAACCCCTTTCTCTAACCCTGCTTTGGGATTCCAGAATTTCTTTCCCAAGCCATAAAACTAGAATGTTTGTTTATTGTCAGTTTTGTTTTTTGAAGTTTGTCCCTGGAAATTATTAAGGTTTCAACCTGATAAAAGATCTCTTGGGTTCAGAAGGAGATTATAATGGTGATTTGGGAGGTAGTGTTCTTCCTTTTTTAATTATGTAGTAAAGAAGTTATTTGACATTGGTGCTAGGGATGTTGTAACTGCTCAGAATACTTCCTTTTAGATAAAAGTTTAAAACTAAGATACTTTGGTCATTAAAAGATCTCACAGCACTTGCATAAGAGTAGTTAAGTATTGTTGGGTATATTAGGTAAATGCTGTCTTGGTAATTGTTTTCTCCATACTAAATTCATACGTGTGGAAGTTGAGTTGCTAAATTATTATCTGTCTGTCTTTAAAATGCACTGGTAAACAACTGTTGCATTTCATTACAGAGAAGGCTGCTTTCAGGGATAGGTGTAGTGATCCCTTTATTTGCCAAACATGCAAATTGCTTTAGGATCTTTCTGGTTGAAAGGCCCCATATAAGTATTATAGCATACTCATTTTGAGTATGAACAAGTATTGAGTTGTAGACATGTCTACCTTAAACTATTTGCAAAGGGCCAAAGATGCTGGTAGTGCAGCTTTTTAGGTGCATTACAGAGTCAGCTCTTTTGCTGATTTATATAGATCTTACCCTAAAAAAGGTAAAAACTCATTATATTTCATCTCCCAGCATAGTACTGTCTTTCTGTATATACACAGCTTACTAGTTGTTAAAGAACTATAAATGCATTGTTTTTTCATGCAGAGAACTGTGGTTTGTTAGGTTTTCAGTGACTGGATATCAGGTCATCATATAAGACATGTCTCTCCTCTGTAGTGTGCGCTACTACTAGAGCTAATGAAACAAATATCTTGCTTCCTGCTCTGCAGAAAACGTCCGATAAACACCTATTCTGATGACCATTATCACCTCCCGTACTGCACTTACTTCTGCAGTATTATACCATATGGACAGGTCTTCCTGATTTCTCACTGTCTCTGGCTGGCAAGTAGATTATGCTCAGAAATATGATAATGTTATGTAATCTTTAACTTAACTGAGCATTTTACTTATCAATAGAGGTAGTTTGTGCAGAGAAACTACTTTTGAGTATCTTTTCAATGCGCTTCAGAAGATTTACATTGGTATCTCCAGTTAACATAGGCAATAATTGTTGCTTCTCTTGACTTCTGTGCCAGTAATGCCAAGAACGCAGAAAACTCCCCTATGTTAATGGCCAGTGTTCAGAAAGGTCTACCCCTCTCTTCCAAGTTCTAGCTCAAATTCAAGAAACTATCTGGCTCCACTGATATATAGTTATGTCTGAAATTAACAGGCCAACTTTTTAATTAAATACAAAGAGCAGATTTTTTAGCTTCAGAAGATCAACTTTTAGAATTTTGTCTCCCAAAGTATTGGGAAAATCTCCTTACTGGAATTCAAGTATACTTCCATTCAGGAGCTTGTATGACTAATTGTGTTTATACTATTGAGGTTTTAGGTAAAAGCCTACCTTTTGTTATATAAGCAGGGTTAAATAACTGCAAGATTTTGAGGGTTATTGAAAGAAATTTGCCACTGGAAGCATGGTGATAAGAGTCTTGCCTACACTTTGCATTCCTTTGGGCTATAGAACCATACAAATTAATGTTTACAATCAAATGGACACTGGGCATTGAGGACTTCAGTCTTGTGTCCTTCTGTTAAATTTTTGTGAATGTGAAAATGGACAATATTGACTCTTACAGTTTTGAATACATCCAGAAATAAGAGGATGCCACAGTCCAATGCCACACATTAAATACTTTCTTGAGTATAAACATTCTCCACACTCTAACTAATTATCTCTAAAAGCCCTAAGACTTTATGGAATCATAGAAAATTAGGGTTGGAAGGGACCTCAGGAGTTCATCTAGGATGGAGGTCATTTGTGGATGGTACCTTTATGACTATACCAAAGCTTAAGAAACTGTAAGTGAATTTCAGTTGCTTAATACATTTTAGTACTATGCTACAAGTAACAGAATACATATGGCAAACTGGATACAAACTCTTTTCAGTCTTTATGACAACAGACATGTCCTTCCAAGACAGCTGAAAGATTTTCAACAAGTTTTTATTACTTAAAGGATATGAAGATTATTTTACTTGGTTTTGCTAAGACACCTGATTACATTCAGTCAAAGCTCGACTTGATGTTAAAATGCACTTCATATGCTTGAGACTGTTTCATTGGCTGAGAATGCTATTACAAGCACTGTTTGTTCTTTGCTGAAGGAAGATAAGTGCTAACAAGAAACATTTGTAATGTTTCTTCATTGTTGGAGTATCTAAGTTGGAAGGATAGTGAAGCAAGATACAGCTATTTTTTCACAAAATTTAAACTTTTAAGGCCTTCCTTACTACTGTTGCCATTTCCTAATTTTCAGATGTGTATTGCAAGCCTTCTCTGTATCTTCCAGCCTAATTAGTACTCTGTTGATATACTATAATGTAAATCTGAGATGTTATTTCCATCCCTGCTTCTTGGAATCCTTTTACACATTTGGCATTTCCTTTTCCTGTGGGTAGTATTTCATATGAAGTAGACCAGTGGAGTAATCTGTCACATGGTTTTCCAGAATAGAAGAATCAGTGATCCATTGTAGCCTAATTAGTACTCTGTTGATATAATGTAAATCTGAGATGTTATGAAATTGCATCATTTGCAGGTCTAGCCTTATAATTGTCACTGGTGGGGCTGACAAATTTGCTCTTTATTCTATGGCAGTATTTTTCAACCTTTTTTTCATATGTGAACCCCTAAAAATTTTTGAATGGAGGTGCAAACCCCTTTGGAAATTGTGAATGGTGGTGTTGGACCCCTTTAAATTGTAAGTGTGGGTATTTACATGCTTTTGATTGATCATAGTAATGTTTGTGGACCTCTTAGATATAGTCTGTAGACTCTTAGGGGTTCACAGACCACAGGTTGAAAACCACTGTTCTGTGGTGTTTGGTATGAATGGGAGATTTTGGTAGACTGAGGTGCAAAGGTTCCAGACATTTACTTCAGCTGTTATTGGGCAGTATTTCTTTGCCTTTTCAACTTCCTGTTCTCATTGCAGATATCATGAACAAGAAACCTCGACTAGCATGGGAACTCTACCTGAAGATGGAAAATTCAGGAGCATCCTTCAGTCTCTTGCAGCTTATTGCAAATGATTGCTACAAAGTAAGTTGTTTGAATTCTGCTGCATCCCACTCAGAGGCCTCTTTTACAGTAGGCTCTCATTCTTAATATTGCCCACCACTGTCTGAACTAATGAAGCTCCAGTGATGCTGGTAGACTGAGAAGGATTTATCAGCATTTTAACCAGGGTATCTTTTGGGCGGGCGATTACACTAATTAAAGCTCTTGCAATTGTTTTGTACTAGTGCTAACATTAGGGCTAATCACCATTTCTGCCACTGAAAGAGCTATTACTACTAGTAGCAACAGAAAGAAGTTTTAAGAAAAAAGTTCCAGAGGAGATTTGAAGCTCTTTCTAGCAATTCTTCCCTTTCTGTTTGAGACTTAGAATGTCAGCACTGATGCTTTGGATGGTTTTTCTTCCTCAACCCCATTCCCCCCGCAACCTTGAGAGTACATACAATGAATAATTTGATGAAATCACTTGGAATAGAGTACTAGGATTTTTCCAGAATGTATTAGTGTTGGATGTTAAAAAAATCATCAATAATTGCCTTGTAAATGATATAGCTATGTAGTCTTGTAAACTGGCCTTGTACAGACATTCAGTTTCTCCTGGGAGAGTCACTGCTCTCCCAGGAGAAACCACAAGAGTACAGATGTTCAGGCTTTTTCTCTGAGGTTTCAAATGGCTGCTCCAGGAGAAAAATAACTTGGGGAACAACCAGAGTTAAATTACTCCTGGGAGAGTTTCTCCTGGGAGAGCAAATGTCTGTACCTGCTTTGGCTTCTCTCAGATCATGGTCCTCTAGCATCCCTCTTGCCACCTCTCAGGGAGACAGCATATTGCTTGCTGGACTCTGCTGCTCCAGCAGGGAGCAGAGCAAGCCCCCTTAGCAATCCCCACAGTTGTCACAGGGAAACACAGGTTGACCATGGCCAGTCTGGGTCAGCCAATCAGGGCTGCCCTATGCACTACTGCCATCTGTTGCCAGGCTGACTAAGGGAGCCTGCAGAGCATGCTGAGATGTCTGAACAGCACCTGCCCAACTTTCCCCCTAGCTCTACAGTGTCATCATCACTGCAAGTTCTGCACACTTCAGGGCCTCAGCATTCAAATATCTGTATACCTAGCTCTGGGTAAGTTTCTTTACTAAGTTAACAAACCTGGGAGAATTTTCCCAGGTTAAATACTTCTGGCATATTTCATAGATGTCATAGATATTTGGGCTGGAAGGGACCCCAGAGGATCATCGAGGCCAGCCCCCTGCCCATCGAGTCCAGTGCCCTGCCTGGGCAGGAAAGAGCGCTCAGCCAGATGCCCCCAGCCAGATGCCCCTCCAGCCTTCTCTTAAAGACCCTTGAGGTGGGAGAAAGCACCACCTCCCTTGGGAGCCCAGTCCAAATTTTGTTCACCCTTACTGTGAAGAAGTTTTTCCTGATATTCAGCCTAAATTTGCTCTCTGTCAGTTTGTGACCATTGTTCCTTGTTACCCCAAGAGGCGCCCTGGTGGAGAGAGCATCTCTGATCCCTTGTTGCATCCCCATAATGAATTTGTAGGCGGCCACAAAATACCCTCTCAGCCTTCTCTTGCGGAGGCTGAAGAGGTCCAAGTCCCTCAGTCTCTCCTCGTAGGGCCTTGCCTGCAGGCCCCTGACCATACGAGTGGGCTCCTCTGGACCCTCTTGACTCTATCCACGTCCTTCTTCAAGTACGGCACCCAAAACTGGATTCAATACTCCTAAAACGACCCAATACTCCTAGTTATAATGTATAGCTCATTTTAGCACTGAAATTTGCCATTGTGTATATCTGCCAGGTTTTAAACAACTGAGGAATTTTAAGTGTAGGTTTCCTAAATGTACACATACATCTTTTTTATATGTAGAGCAATTCTGAGATTCTGAAAGAAGTTTAGGTGACAATAGAGGATTTCCTCTTCAAAGAAATAATGCAACCAGATGGAGGAAGTACTCTATTCCCTCAAGGATCTGAGGACAACTAGGTCTGTTGGTATCCATACTATACCATCCTTCCACAAGCTCCTTTAGATAGCTGTCTCAACAAAGGCTAAGAATGTTGTGATCAACCAGAATGCTCATCCAGAAAGCTTCCTTATACCAAAGGTGTCAGTCATCCTCCTTTTCTATCAGTACCAGGGTTCCTCCTAGAAGCGTGGCAAGTGTCAAGATCCATGACAAGTCTAACCCAAAACTGAACTTGAAAAGTCACCTCTTACCCTTCCTTTGGGCATAGACAGAAGTTACAGCTGAGAAAAAGATACTAGACATTGTTGCCTGCAGCTATCCCAGTCACTTTCATTCTTTGTCCTTCCCCTGACCTTCTTCAGGGTGCTATCTTCCTAAAGCCTGTTAAAGAAAGAAGTGGCCTCACTTACAATTGTTGTTGTTGCTGTTATTAACTTAAAGAAAGCATAGAAGTGTGACATGACAATGTGGAGGGAAAATATTCTATTCCTGATATTTCTTTATGCCCAAGAGAATATAGGGGATTTTATCCTATCTTAAATCTGAGGAGACTGAACAAATGCATACTAATTCTACCAGAGTGAGATCTTAACTTCCAATAACTCTTACTTTAGTTATTATCGAACACGGAGAGATCATAAGTGGCTGCTACAGTCTAGACTTACCTTAAATATTCCAGGCAGGAACTGTCTTTTTGTTCTATATTTGTACATGCAACATTGGGGCCTTAGTGCTACAAACCACCATTCTGGTAATCTGTCATTGGGGGACGTTTCTGCTAGACCCATTTTGTCAAGAACAAGGTCACATTTTCAGACTTTTATTCCAGAGGCTGTTTGAGTTGAGAATCATTACCAGATGTCTGTCTTCTGTGGTGGAATCAAGGCCTTTTGAACATCTCACCAATTTCTCTAAACTTCTGGGTGATTGCCAAAGCCAGATGAAACTGAATCATATTCATCTTCATAGCTCTCTACCACCTGAAGTAGTTTTGGCTGACAAGCTTGTTGCAAATGTCCACATAAGCACTGATCAAGCCCAGGCCAACTAGAACTTTTATGTCAAAGCCTGGAACCCAAAACGCTTCACTTGATGGACTGGATGCTGACTGGTTAAGCCTCAGGGGAAAGGGATTCTCTTTAAGTTCAAGATACCCCGATACAGAATATTTAACCTACAGCAGGGGTAGGCAAAATACTAATTATAATTCAAAGTCCTGATTAAGATAATACTTATTTTCCGAATCTCAATGCAATCTACTTGAAACTGGAATGTACCTCTTGCGGTTCTGAGCAGTTTGGAAGAGCAGGAAAAAGTATGCTGTTTGCATAACTGTAACACCAGAAAAATAGCATCAGAATTTTGGATCTCTTTCTTTTTAGACAGTCATATGTGTCTGAGATTTATGGTGCTTTCTTTTCCTACACAGATGGGCCAGTTTTATTATTCAGCCCAGGCCTTTGATGTCCTGGAGAGACAGGACCCTAACCCTGAATACTGGGAAGGAAAGAGAGGTGCCTGTGTGGGCATCTTCCAAATGATCTTAGCTGGCCGAGAACCCAAGTACGTACTCTTATTTTGTGTGAAATTCTCACCTAGTCTTCCTTGTCTAACTAGCAGTAAGCCAGAATTGCATTAAGAGCTGCTTTTATGAAAAGGAATGGATAACTCTACCTTCTCCAACTCGTTTACCTTTTAAAAGAGACGAGTGCTGCCCCAGTGGTTGTGTACTCAAAGGGCATTTCTGTTGTCTTTCTTCTAATCTAATGGGTACAGGAGATGTGGTGAAGGATGACCTACTGACTTATCTGTTAAGTTAAGTAGATCTTTTCTTAACCCCGCCCCCCCCTTTCCCCCCCGCCCAGATGCAAGCCACTTCAGACTGCAGATATATTTATTGGATATCTCTAGCTAGACAAGGCTAAGCTTTGTCAGTAGTCAATGGGAGCAGTCTAAAATAGGGAGGCCATTTGAAATGTGAGTTTAAAAACGTTTCAAAACATAGTGCTTCTGCTCTGGAACACACAGGGAGCCCTTACTGCACTTTCTGACCAGAGCACTTTGGAATTCCTATAGCTGCACGCTACAGCAAGCTCTCCAGACGCTGGGGTGTTACAAGATGCATACATCACCTATGTCTCTGCTTCCACTCTTTCTCCCTCCTACAGGAGCCAAGCAGACTCTTGGTTAGGGCACCATTGCTCCCTGCACTCCAGCGCTGTGGTTTCTGGAATTCGGAACACCTGGGCTCTAGCACTTGGGGTATCCCAAGCACTGGGACTCCTGGCTTCAGGTTACAGGGAACAACAGTGCCTCAAGTGCTGGCATCCCCAAGGAGCACCTCAAGTCCCATGAGCCCATGTGTGCAAGGAATGCAGGGAGATGGAGGGAGAGGGGTGGCTGAGGGAGTGGGGCAGCAGCAGCCAGGGTGCTGGGAGAGGGTGTGAAGGCAATCACTGTATGAAGGATCCACAACCTGTAGAGATGTACAGTGGTATAAAACAATAACAAATAGTACCAGCTCCCTTCGGGTACTGTTTTGTCATGCTTGGGAGCAATTTATCTCACGTGTTCATCTATATGGTAGCTTTTTGAAACATTTCAAATGCTATGACTATCCATACCCTAAGGAAAATACAGGGGTTCATCAGAGAGTGATGCTTCTGCAAGCAGTCCTTTTCTTTCTGAGTAATAATAAATGCGCCATACTTCACATGGTCAGACAGACACTTGGCATAATTACCTTTTAAGCCCTGAGGCAGTGCTCCTGCATTAAATGTACATGTTGCTATTCTTTATATGTTGTCTTTTCAGATGGCATGAAAAACTGAGGCTGTAACTACTTGCTGAGTTTTGTGGCCTTTTTCTATAGCAGTTGTTATTTTTAATTTTTATATTCTGACCAGGCTCCAGCCTGAATAATTACATGTTGCTCACTTAAAATTTCCCCTCCTTGTTATAACTAAACACATTATTCTTTCTAGGCCTAAACCATTGTCTAGCTTTACTGTGTGTTGTTTATCAGCTGTTCCTCCTCTTCAGTGGTAGGGAAGGGGACCTTTATTTCTAGAGTCTCATGTTTTTGTGTCCTTCAGGATATTAAAAAGCATAGAAATGCCAGGTAGTTTTCTTTTGGGGTCAGCCGTATTGATCTGGGGCTATATGACAGACAGTCTTTTGGTCTGAGTTGGTATCTTTTATTAGACCAACTTGCTTGGAGGTGGGTTGATGTTTCTAGTAAGCTTTCGGATAACATGGTATCCTTTTTCAAGCTAAGTGGAGTGCAGAAGGGGTTGACTCTTCTGTGTATGCTGGGGAATCTGTTGTTAGTCTGTGCAAGTGGATGTGTTAGTTGAACTGCTCTGAAGGCAATCATACTGTCCACATGGCGGGGGGGGGAGGAAAAAAATTTCTTGTGGATTATGGTATGGGTACCCAGTATGGTTGGGGTTTAAGCGGACTGTAGTGAGGAAGATAGCTCATGTCTCTGTTCAGTCCATGATTTTTCGTGTCCAGAGTGGTGATGAAGTTGAGTTCGTGGGCACACTCTTTAGAAATGTCAGGTGTTATTTAGTAAAAGTGACCCTCACTCTCTTTTACATCTTTGCCCTTCATTTACCCAGAGAAACCCTACGCAAAGTCCTGCATCTCCTAAGGAGCACTGGTAACCCCCAGGTAGAGTACATCATCCGCATCATGAAGAAGTGGGCCAAGGACAACAGAGTCCCTGTCTAGACCAGCACTACCAAATACTGAGTCAGTTATCATTTTTTTGTGTATGGCTGGAAGGTGTGGATCCTGACCTATCATTTACAATGTTAAACACAATGACCTAACTATAGGATTGAGTAAGAAGAGTACAGAAATAAGATTGCAAAAAATTCCATAAATAATTTAATACTGAAGATTGATTCTTGGAAGGAAAAGGTTTGAAGTCTGTTTCCTTTCTACCACAATCCCAATGGTAGTTTTTCTGTATCAATGCCTGTTTCTAGTTCAGCGCCTGTCAGATTTTGTTTTATACTGCTGTTCCAGCTTTCACAGCTCGGACTATTCCTTGGATGTAACCCAGACTCCCTTGCATCAGCTTCAACACATGCAGTGTGGCAATTAGTCCAGTGTTTTGTTTTTAAAATAGGTCTTTGCTCTTCAGAGAAGAATCGTTTGTAAAATGACTGAGCAAATGTGCTTCAGTAGAAGACTGGACATGGCAAAAGAAAGAAGGATTATGGTATCTTAGCAGTGATCGGCTTCCCATTGACAGCTGATTTTTTGTTTGAACAAAACACAACGCAATTTACTGTACCACATGCATTTCTGTATAGATTCTGGTAACTAATAACTTATTCATCTTCCATTTCTGTCTAAAAAACTTTGTTATCCCTTGCCTGCTGTAGTCAGAATATTTCTGAATGTGAGAATCAATCAGCCAGAAGTGCAGGACCCCAATATCGCTTCTTATTTTAAGAACAGTCACAAAGTTTAGAGGACTTCAAGAGCATGAGGTGGTGTTTAACAGAGCTGTTCAGTCTTGCTTTAACCCTGATCCTCCATGCACTTACATATTGGTATCTTCACTACTCATATAAGTGAAGTTATGTATATGTTAACACGATCCTTTCATCAGTCACTACCCTCATCATCACTATATCGTGATTTTAGCTGACAGTTTGCTCTGCAAATACTCTCCTGTTCCTGAAGGAGAACGCTTCACAGAATATATAACTTAATCCTGGAGGAGAGCAAGGGGTTGTGACAGAGAAGTGCATTATAGGGTATATAGTAAGCAACACCTGTACCATATTTGTAAAGGACAATTATTTTATTTATTATGTATTTTTGTACCTTGTGAAAAAATACTTTATTGTAAATTGTACTCTCTGCTAATACCTTGATTAAAGTTTATACTTGGATTTATAATTTGGCTTCTTGTTTGGTTGTGTTTACCTCATCATGACCAGGCAGTTGGATGCAAATTCATTTAATTGTGGAGGATGATAGGTTTGCAATTGGTCATGAAATGCTGATTCATTAATCAGTCAAAGATGAACTCAGTTAAAGGAACCTCATCTATGAACTGTTCAGTGGCCTTTGCTGTTAGATACTGAAATAAAGATGGTTCAGGTAATCTTTCCACTTGTAAGTAGTTTTGGTTTTGTTATCATACTCCAGCAGAGATGATGAATTCTCCTCAGGCTATAAAGAAGAAAGACTTCTAATTCATGGTAGAAGATTACCACATTTCTCAATGCTGGAGTTCACAACTTTTAAGTTACCTTTTGTTATCTTACTGCAGCATGTCTGACTGTTCTGACAAGAACTTCCATGTGTACCATCAGTCATGTAGCTGTCAATAGCTTGGTACATTGTAGGCTGCTTGCTTCTATGTGGAAAAATCCAGAAATTTAGATCCCTCATACTAGTAACAAGAAATAAGTTCTTAAATCCTGCCAATGACATCAGTATGGAAACAAGGCTGCTGTGATGTATGATACTCAGTCAGAAAGTAATACCTCCTAATTTTTCTGTTCTAAGTGAGGCACAAACAGCCCGTGAGAATTTTTTTGTCCAAATGTTTGAACCTCCACTTGAAACAGAAACATTGTATGACAGAGACCTGTCTGAGGTGCTGTTTCTGCATGTCAATGCTTGCCCACACCCCAGAGGCAATCTCATCAGTTGGATACACCGTGCAGCCCCATCCTCTATACAGCCTAGACATGACACCCTCTAATTACCATCTTTGGGTGCCTTTGAAGGACAAATTTTAAAAGTGATATTTATGGGATGATAGCCAAACCATGGAGACTATGCAACAAGGACTTTTACAATGGATATGTGCCCTTGTTCACTGGTGGGAAAAGGCCATTGATGGAGAGGGAGATTATGATGCACAATAGCTGTATGTTCAGTGATTTCATACAATTTTTTCATAGAAGTTTAATATTTTTTTCAGTAATATTTGGCTAAGAAAAATATAGGACATTACTTTCTAACTGACCCTTGTTTAAAGAACACTAAAATGCTTTAGTTGAAAGCAGCTGCAAAATGCTTTCCATTTGTAAGAGGTCTTTTTGTTTTCCTTCCCAGATTAATTAATTTGGAAACAGATTGGAATGGATGCTGTGAGCCTTGGTTTCAAGCTGGAGAAAAATCAATATGGTGACTGTGACAGATATTAAATGCAACTATTTCATTCACTGAAGTATAATCAGACAGAAAGATGAAGAGCCTCCAGATCCATTGCAAATTGCTTTACATGTTAAAAGTAACTCTTTTGCAAAAAGTCTTACATCTCTAAAGGCACATAGACAAAGTCATAGGCTAATTTTAAATATTATGTTTTGGTAACCCTAAGTCATTCCTAAATGTCATGTTTTAGTAATATCTTAGCTGGTTGTAACTAACCATCTAGAGTTTATGCATGACCAGCTAAGCTGTTTTGATGCCTGCTTTTGTTTACAGCAGTTGCTAAGTAGTAGGGGTGTGTGAAGCAGACCCTGTTTGATTTGGATTTGGATTCAGCCTGAATCGGGGACAATGATTCGATTTGTTTATTTGGATCACGGTTCCTGATGCAATTTGGCCGAATCTGAAGATTCAATGCTGATTCGGAGAATCAGCGATTTGGACATAGACACAGCTTTAAAAGTATTTTCTACATACCTAGAGGTACCAGTGTGGCCTGTGAACGCTGCGATGCTGGGGCGCATGGGGTGTCCCACAGGAGTGCAAGGGCCCTCCATGTGCTTGGCAGTGAACCTGGAAGTGAACCGGAAGTACTTATGGTCCACTCCCAGGTCTACCCGGCAGTGCACAGGGGGGCCCCCCGATGCCCCCCCAGCTCAGCAATCTGCTGCGGGGGGACCCTGGGTGCACCCCCAGACCCAGGAGGCACCAGTCACCTAGCCGGGGGAACATGGGGGGGCTCCCCAGCAGACACGGAAGTGGACCAGAAGTGCTTCTGGTCCACTTCCAGGTCTGCTGCCAAGCGCGCTGGGGACACTCCTGTGTTTCTGTGGGACACTCCATATGCCCCAGCATCGCAGTGTTCACGAGCCGCCTGCTACCTAGAGGTATGTGGAAAAAACATTTAAAGCTGTGTCTATGTCCGAATCGCTGCTTCTTTCCGAATTGACTCAGAGGGTTCTGATTCAATTTGGAGAGATTAAATTGTCCTCAGATTCAGAGATTTGGCCACTGAATCGAGCCGAATCGAATCAGGGACCGAAGCTTCGCACAGCCATACTAAGTAGTTTTTAGTATGTTATTAGTGTTACTTAACATCGCTTCTAATATAGTTCATTTCTCTAGTATAGATTAGACCTCCAAAATTAAAGACAAGATGAATTTGGGGAGGGTTGTACACCTTTGCTTTATATAATGTATTTGTGTTCATAATTTGCATTACTGTAGCACCTAGAGCTTTCATCCTTGACCAGCACCAGAGCTTGAAAGGATTATTTTGGAAACTCATATGGTTTTTGTTTTATCTTTTCAATTCTAAATATTACAAATATCTTCCCTGATTTAGCTTGAGATCTTATTAGAGAAGCAAAGATGTAGAGCAGGAGCTTAGTTCCTAATTAAAGGGAAGTTGAGGTTGAATCCTTTTCAAGAATTTCTACGACTATTTATCTGGGTTAAATTAACAAAAAAACAACCTTCTTTCTGCCTAGACCCACTCAGCTATTCTGGCAGTCCAGAAAATAGATTGACAAATGTATCCAGAAGAGAAGCCACCATGTTTTTGGGAAGGAAAGAGCTAAGGGGAAACGGGAGAAGATAAAGAAAGAGAGGACTTTCCCTTCAAAGGCTACAAGAAGGTTCCAAGGAAAGTGTTAAGCTTGACCAGAATCTGAACCACTCCAGAAATGCAGCACTATTCCCTAACTCATTGGGCATGTCTACACGTGCACTTTAATATGCAGTAGACTATTACTATGCATTAAAGCATCACGTAAAAAAAAATTATGCTAATGTGCGGTAAAATAGTCTACTGCTGTTTTTTAAGCATCACTAAAAAAGGATGCAAATGTACTACTGCGCATTAGCACAGCCTAATGCGCAGTAATTTAATACCTCACACTGGAAGCACTAAATTTAATGTGCATTAGAAAAGGTGCATTAATGCACATGTAGATGCGCCTATTGTGAACTGTAAAGGCAGTAACAATTGGCATCAGGGAACCTACCAGAGAAAGGGGTAGAGATGCACCTCAGACTAAATTATAGACGCACAAGGCTTCATGAGCCAGAGCTCACTTTATCAGATGCTAGGAAAAGAGTGGAGCGGGCTATCAAATTGAGAGGGTGATCTGAATAGAAAAGACGGGAGGGAGGGAGGGAAGGGAGAATGGGGGAAAGGTGGGGGAGAGCAGTGCTAAGATTAGCAAAGAAGCAATAAAACCCATACAGACAAAGGGGTCACAAAACCTAATCCAAGCGTGATAAGATTCCACAGTCCCTCTACTTAACACAGTCCAGTCCATGGATGATTTCTTACTCTGCAATTGTATGTTCAAATCTGTTTTAAAGTTTCACTGTACTGTATAAGAACAGCTACTCTGAGGTCAGCAATGGAATGTGCAGGAAGGATAAATTGTTCTGCCGCAGGATTGTGTGTGTGTTTGGACTTGATGTCAGATCAGTGCAGCCCATTCTTTCACATAGGGATCACCCCATCTGGCCAATATAGATGACAGAGAGGCACTGTGAAGTTTCAGTTAGTCTGTAAGGTGGATATCTACCCTGCAGTCTGCCTGATTTCAGACTAACATGGCTGACTACCTCTCTGCTCAGAGAAAAGTGTGTCACAATCCCCAGAATAGGGAACTTTTTTTTTTTTTTTTTAATTTAGAATGAAATGCAGACTTCCACTGCAGCTCAAGGGGAAAATGTGTCTCCCACTGACGTAGATGAGAAGTCTTCCCAAAGGTCAACAGAGTACACAACCTCCAATTAATAACTACAAGTTTAGCCAGTTATTCAGAATCACAGGGCACTTTTATACAAACTAGTTACTGCAAGGCAATTGGAGGCATGGATTTACTGTCAGCTACTCTGGGGTACTTGCCTGGTACATGCTCTTGCTCCATGTCAGACAAAAGCTAAACCTGCCACTGAGGGGTAAACTACTTTGCATTAGATAAAGCATATCTTCAAGGAAGGCTTTCAGTGTTGATCTGAAGACAAATGATGGAAAATCCACCTCTTGGTAATTTGTATCAGTGGCTAGTTATCTTCACTTATAAATAGGTATCTGGTTCGAATTTGCATTTGTCTGGCTTCAGCTTTCAGTCATTAGCTTTTGCTGTGTCTTTTCCTTCTACATTACAGCCCCAAAGGACTTTTCCCCCCTTGTGAATGTACTTTATTTACTATAAGCAAGTCATCTCTGAATTAAACAGATTTAAGTTTTTGAAATCTCTCTACAAGGTGCTTTTCCAGCCCTTGAATATTTTAAGTGGTTCTTTCCTCATCTTCCCTAATTTTTCAACATCCTTTCTAATATGTGGATACCAGAACTGGATGTAGTAATCCAATCTCTCTAAAGCTGTTATACAGAGGTAAAACTACCCCATCGGTAATACTCACTTTTTCCCTTATCATTCATCCAAAGACTGCACTAGCCCCTTTGACCACAGCATCATGCTATAAGTTGTTGGGAACTGCATATTCCCTATATGTAGATCCTTTTCAAAATAATTGTATTCTTGAATAGTTCCTTAAGTACAGCTTGTATTCTTTGCTCTGGGAGCTCTGGCAATTAATGCTGTTCCCCTTATCTCACCACCAAATTCTGGACCCATGGGTAGACTTGTGGGTCAGATACAGTCAATGGGCTGTATCTTGGTCACCCCAATTTCCTACTTTATTGAATCTGTGTCTTCTACAAATTTTATTACCAGTGATGTCTATATTTTCTTCCACATCATTGATGGAAAATGTCAAATCAGGTTTGGGTTTACTACCAAAGTGAATGGAACCCCACTATACACTTTTACATGAGGATGAGGGTGATGAGTCCCCAGTGACTAATAAAATTAAAAAATGAAGTTAGCCAAATCTTATTAACAGTGCTTTATTATTTCTGCGAAGTGCTATTTTTAAACAGACTGTTTTTTCTAAGTCAAGCACTTTTAAACAGCATCTAAGCCACTACTTTTCAATTAAACTTGTCTCATAAATAAATTAAATCAGACCTGGTTTACAAGTCTTAGCCTTTTAATTCTTCAGCAACTGCATTCTGTATCATCCCAATGAGACTACTGGAATTTATACTTCTTAGCCATTGTTTCAGGCTGTCTTCAAACTCAGGAAGACATTACTATATTGGTTATATTTGGAAAGTCTTACTCAAAACCAGAAGAGTTAGAAACTTCTCAATTGTGCAAAAATCTTAGGCTTTTATTTTAAATCCAAATATGCCATGCAGGACATACAAGTAGGTTAGGTGTCTAACATCTGTGATCAATGAGACAATTACTAAATTTCTATAAATCATTTTAAGTCATAAACTGCATTAACCTTTTATAACCTTTTCATAGAAATAATTCTGTATTCACTAAGCGTTGTAGGTTAAGGAAAGATCTAGTGTATTCCACACATACTCGTGATCCCTGTTTTGTATACTGCTGGGCTTAGTGGCTTCTTAATATATTGACATTTTCTCCAAGACCAGCAGTGCTGTAAAAATATCTTGACATACCTGTATAGTGATTTTCTACTCATAGGAAATCCAGGTCTTGAGCTATTTTGGCTGAAAATATTCAGAAAATATATGCAAGAGTTCATGGGTAACAATTTACTACATTTAATTCAAGACTTTTTTCTCCCCATTCAATGACCGGGGGTGGGGTGGAGGTGGGGGTGGCAGGCTGTTTGCCCTCTTCTCCCTGCCCCACAACCACCTGTATCCCTGCCACTGCTTTCCCACTGTAACAGTAGGAGGGGGCAGAGAGGGAGGAACAAATCTGAAGACAACCATCGAATAATTTAGATTCTATACATGGGAAACTATAACAGTTATAATTTTTCCATGTATAGAATCTAATTATTGGGGGGCAGGAGGGAGGGCGAGTCATCTGAAATTTGAAGTTGTCTTGAATTTGGAATATGGTGTTTTGTGTGCCAATCAAACATACCTGAAAATAGGAGAAAAGATCTGATGTGGTCTCAGAACTGCACTTCCATGTATCCATCCAGGAATTATGTTATATTGTCAGAATCCTCAATATGGTCAATATTCTGTGGACTAAATATGCCCAATGCAAAGCGACTGTTGCAAACAGATCTTATTCCATGCAGAAAAGAACTACAGCTGTTACGTAAATATGAAAGGTATCTCTGCTTTTATGCACGCAATGTAAAGTAGATAGCTTTAACATTATTTCTTGAACTACCACCACACTAAAGCAAACTTCAGGAAAATATTGTTACCAAAACTGTCAAACTCAGTCTTTAATTTTGTGTTTCATTCATATCATTGTTGATTATCATGCCATTTGCCTGTAAAATGTCTCTTCTTTCTAATACAACTCTTTTATCTGATTCATTCCCTAGTCATAAATGTTAAACTTGAGTCATCGCTGAATAAATAGAGAGTGAGGCTGGTTATCATAGTCATGTAAAGTAAAGATAGAAAAGCTCTATTAAATCATGCACTGATTAATCTTGAAGGCATGTATGTACAAGTTTTCCTACTTAACAGTATCCACTCATTTTGGGGTATATTCTGTGATGCATCAATATTGCATTTGTTTTAATGAGCACACCATATTTCCTGTATTCTTTCTCCTTTGTGCCCACGACCATTTTCTTTTCTACATTTTCTGTTTCATCTCCATTTCCTTTGGTTCCTCCAATCCAATTGCTCTAGCTGGCTTGTCCAACTTCACAGGAGTATTGCACTGAAGTTGTATTTGTTTCAAAAGTATGTTGTGATCTGCACATAAAAGTCTGCAAATAAGCTTGTCTTAAATCATTCCTTTCATCATGCCAATGTGAACCCCTTAAAATGGTAAGTAATTATTTGGGAATAGTCCTATTGACTTAAATCTATCTACTCATGTAATTGTTTAGGAGTGCCGAGTAAGGGGTTCATCATCTGGTTCTGGGTGCTTACACCTTTCAAGTAGTAGTAGCAATTGTAGTTACCCTCCATTCTCCTTGTTTAACTTAGCTATGCATAAAGTATTTACTTTTTGCAAGTAAGAGAGCTTTGTTTACCTAATGCACATGCTTTGAGGAGTTGCAATCATGATGGGAAAGGAAATAGACAATACAGAAAAGTGACACATTTTTTAAACAGCAATTTTACAATTTACAACCTTGTTTTCTGACATCTGAGTAGCCATATTATGGCTTGGGTTCAGTGATCATTGCAAACTAGATCTAAGAATTTCTTCTGAAGGTTCTTAAAAATACTTATTGGGGGCTGGGTATTAGGGAGGAGTTCAGTTACTTTCTACTTGGTTATTTCAATTATTTGTGTGGGAAAACATTTTTCACAAGTAAAGTAATTTTTTTCAGTTGCTATTTTAATAATCTGGTAAATCAAAGCAGCTTTGTTTTGAAACTTCAGGCTTGGCATGTAGATTGTTCCAAATGATGAATATGTGCTTTGCAGTCTTGAAGGAAATTTGGTTTGGAAATAAAATTATGAAGGCATGAAAATTCTGATGCATAATATTCTCCTTTCTGTTCTGTCTTTAAGCATGCATGAAAATTAAGATATAAGCAACTGTTTCTGTAATCATTCTTTGCAGCCTGTGATAATACTTAGTTCTTCATCTAAGTAATTCAAAGCATTTTACAAAGCCCTGAGGGGAAAAAAAGGCATTGGAAGCATTGTTCAATAGGTTGGTAAGTGAGGTGTAAAATAGTTGACTCATTTTTTCCTAAAAAGAAGAAGTTATTAGAGAAGTGGGTAAGACACAGCAGTTAAATACTAGTTCCCAACTCAATTTGTTTTCTCAGTGCTCAGCAACCCAGTTTGGGTCAGAGGTAGACAGGCAGGTACCAGGACCCAGTTACCATGGGCAGAGTAACCGCAGATGGTGCCAGGGGAAGCCCCATGTGCAAGGGCTGGATCAAATGGGTCGGGGGGCCAACCTGTCCTAGCAAGCTGTTGTGTATTTACAAATCTTTGGGTCTCGTATAGGCAATTTACATATATTTAAATAAACCAGTCCTTAATCAGAATGAACATTGCTCAACAGGATTCCTGACAATAGCTTTTAACTTGTTACCTGTAGAAGTAATTGTGTACAAGCGAATTTGTGTCTAGTCACTTTTGGGACTTAATTAAGTACTGGATGCCAGTGAAAGAGAACTGAAGAGAAAACTGCAAGCTGATTAATGAGTAAGCCTCCTCTGCCCAGAATGGGAACAGATTCTTTTTTGTTTTAAAAGCATGGCAGGGTTTTGCCTGGTCCACGTCTGCCTACAGACTGTTTCTTGTAGCACAAATGTATTTTTTCTACACCAGTGTAGCATGCAGGCCTTGCTTAGCTCACCAGACCACACTACTGCCTCTGCAGTCAGAAGTTCTCAGTTCAAGCTTTTGCTGAGAGAGATTCTTTATAAGTAAGGATAATCCTTCCTATTCATGCTACAAATAGGTGTGGCTGCTTAAAACAAAACTGTGATTCATATTTATAGTTCCTCCCCAAGTTACTAATGGAAGAAAGAATTAAAGCAGCAAACAAGCCTCACTATGCATAATAAAACATAAATCACAATGGCTATTTTAGATTATCTCCATATGTGCTGGCCTGATGGGACAGTTTTTTCTGTCAGAGACAGGTATCCTATGTAAACAAATATCCTTAAGGAAATCATGAAAATAAGAAAGAATAGCACATCAAGCCAAACTCCAGGGAACATCATTCTTCCTGTCCCTGTGAAATAACTAGGTGATTCTAAATTGCAAAATGAGCAAATATGATTCTCATAACACATAGCACAATGGAGAGCCACCCATTAGAGGCAGCTCAGCTGAAGTTTTAGGTGCATGATGGGTGGTTATAATCAGCATATTCCAGGCAAGCGCTCTTCAGTACTGTATGGGTTCCTCCAGCAGCTTGCCCACTTACTGATTTCTGCTTTCTTTCTCTCTGTTTACAGTTTAACTATTTTTTCTCTTCTTTTTAGGTTACTGGAGACTTCTCAACAGAATCTTTTCTGTATTTTCTTCTGTGTACTTCTTGATTTCCTTCCTTGGAAGCACACAACCTGTGCATTAATTAGCAGGCTTGTTTCATGCCTCCAGCACAGTTCAGACTTGGAAAAAAATCCTTTCCTTTTCTCCTATGGAGAGTTCAGGTTTTCTGAAATGTACCTACATGTAGCAGAACTAGACACTTCCTGCTCAATAGCATTTGCTTCTACCTCCCTGCTGTCCTGGTGCTGTACTACACTACCTTCCCCTGATTTTAGCAAAATGGAATAGGCAGCAGCTCAACTAAGTCATGTGTGCAGTGGTTCTCAACCTTTTTTGTACCAAGACCTGTTCGTAAATACCAAGGGCCAGTCCTGACCCAGTGCCCTCCCTCTTGATCCAATGCTCCCCCGCCCCTTCCAGGGTGTGGATATGTTGTGGGGGGGAGGGTGTCTGTGGGACATGGGGAGCCCCAGGCAGCCCCTTGCAGGCTGGAGATCTGCCAGCCTGTAAGGGAAAAGCCAGTTTGCCACATTTTTCTCCTTTAAAACGAGAATACATTTTTAAAGTTTGTTGATCCATGTTTGCTGGGTTTTTGGTTGTAGCCGTGTTGGTCTTTTCCTCTTCGCCTTTTTGTCCCCCGTTTTCTTCCCCTTCCCTCCCCTGCTTTACCTTGTTTTCCTACTTCTACCCTTTTATATTTTCACTGACATCCTGTCATACTTTTAGCTTCTCCCATTCCTG